GCTTTTTTTGCTTTAAACTTTTTAACACTTTTCCTATTAAATATTTTCAGCTCAGTTTCAGCAGCTTTCAGCTTAAGTTTTCAGCATAAACCATTCACACTAGCATTTTAGCAGGAAATGCAGTTTCTCTAGTTGACCTTGATTTTGTATTTTTTCAACACTTATTTATTTCTTTAACCCCAGAACTGTGTGATGTGTGATATTAACTTGTTGTGTTTGTGGTTCAGATTGACGAAGACACCAGCCTGGTCCCGGAGGCCATCCAGGGCGGGACTTACAGCTTTAACTCAGCCAACGTGCCAGCCGAGGGATTCCAGTTCTAGACGTCACCTGATGGGGCTTTCTGGTGTTTTGTTCACGATGCAGCACTCTGTTCAACATAAAAACAAATTAGGAGAGAGAGAGCGAGAGAGAGCGAGTGTGAGAAATTCGATCCATTGTGCTTGGCTCGTGGGATCCATGGCTGCATCTTATCTGAGAGAAAAATATGTGGATTTCATTTGGCATTCCAGGGGAACCAGCCCAAATGAAGTTTGAGATGGCGAGTGGGTGCGAGTGAGAATGAGTGGCTACATGTTGCAACACACAAACAAACAAACAAAAAAGAAGCTAAACATCCACATCGAATGAGTTGAGAGATGCRGAAGTAACTTCTGCTATCGGAGCTGTCGTCTTTGGAAAAACAAACAAACAAAAAAACTACTTCAAACAAAAACTTGATGTCTGCCCAGGGAAAACCAAGGACTTTAAAAAAAACAACAAATCAAGAGGTCTTGAAATATAAGCAAACACAGAAACGAATACAATTATAAACTGAGATGAACCACAAACCATCACAATTCTGCGGTCCTCCAACGTGAGAGGGCGCCACCCTCCGTGCCCCTCCCTCAATCGGCCACGTTATCAGACGTGTGAATGGACCCATTGTGTATGAATGTCTGGACTCAGCGCTGAGGAGCCAGGTTCATCGCCCCCCGACTGGGCACCGTCCTCCTCCACCAACACCACCAACACCCCTCCAATCCTCCGGTGGGCGGGGCCAGGAGTCCGGCTGAACGTGTCGCGTGTGCGAGAGAATGGACGGATGAGTTGTGTGTGCTTGGCTGCGTGCGTGACTGGGAGTGTGCGATTCTGGTTGAAAACGCATGCAGAGACTGGGAGGTTTGAAAAAGGAAAGAAAAAAAAAAAGAAAAATACATACGAATCAACATCTGAAAATTGAGAAATGCAACAAAACGTTAGAAGGTTGCAGGAAAGAAAATCTGCCTTTGAAAGAGGCTGATCCTCAAATCTCTGAAAGGAGGAACTTTGGATATATTAAAAAATGTCATCACAAGGATTATATATTTTTTGTTTTGAATTATTGTTAAGTTAGTATTAATTGACACTGGACAATGTTTTATGGCAGGTGTGAAGCGACAGTTTCATTGAATTGATGCTTTTGGGCTTTTCTTTTTGCCTCCAGTGTGTTCCTTTTTTTAATGATTATATTTTTTATTTTCAGCTTTTAGTTTCACTGCTTCTGTAAAAGGTGAATGATGATCGTACTCCATCCTTCCACCAGAACCCTAACCCAAACACCACAAACACGGGCTCCATGCTGTAAAATTGTGACACCATAACCAACCTGTTCCTCTTGTAATGCCTCATTTTTTCTCAAATCCTTTCTGCAAAAATCGCTGCTTTGCAGTATTGTTGCAACGGCACTGATTATCACCACCCCCACACAGGATTGGGAATCATAACCTTTGCATGTACTAAACAATAGCACAGTTACTTTTTTAGGGCTTTTTTTAAGTTTCCTTAGGCTGTGAAGACAGTGTAATTTTTATTTTAAGTAAAACTGTGCTTAAATGTTACATGTTTCCCCTTCCCMTTAATCCTCACTATTCTCCAGTTTGCTAAATGATCTGTATTTTTTTGCACACGTACTGCAAAGTGAGGCCTGAAGTCTTTCTAAAGATGGCGTCGGTGGGTTTCATTTGTTCCGGACCCACCAACAACCTCTACATTATGCATCACTCATCCTCCTGGAGTGATCCAATGATACTTTCTTTTTCTTTTCTTTTTGTGATACTTGAGAAAATAAGGACTTTATTTCAGGAGCAGCAGTAGTTAATCTGCTAATGTATCCCAGCATGAGTAAGGAGGGAGGGTTCACCTCCCTTTTCTCACGGTCAGAGGTGTCCCATATGTCAGTTTGGAGATATTTCCAAGTGGGTTTTCCTGAATAATAATTAAACCCACAGACAAGTTTTGCTGTAACTGTAACCTTACAGAGTTCATGCCCCGTCCCCTCTAAAAGCTAAGTGTACAAGCTTATCCTCTTTTTATTATTATTTTTTTGTGTTAACCTCAAACACTGTAGTAATGATTACACATTGTGCTCATAAACCTTCTGTTGAACATAGGGGTATATTTTGTTTGTTTTTTGCAGCATTCCTTGTTAGCAAAGTGGTTTCAAATATAAAATTATGACGGAAGGATGGGGAGGGGGGGGGCTAAAAACCTTTTTTTTTAGGGGGGGGGATAGGCTACAAGGCTAGGTTGTCTTCGAGAAAATAAATAGTGAAACCTAAACCCGAGAGACTGCGTCTGTGTTTTTTGTTTTATGAAAAGTTGATTTTAACCATGTGCTGCTTGTTTTCAACCAGCTGCATTCATTTGTTTGGTTGAGTGGCTGAGTTCAAACTGGAAAACGGCGCAATCTCTTTCATCTCGCGATGATGGTTTGCGCGCATGCGTGCTCCTAAAAATGAAATTGCGTGTTTGGAAGGCGTCAGAAAAGGACACAGACTGCTGATTATAAATCACCTTTCAAAAATCAAATATACAATTTAGTTGTTTTTTTTTATCACGAGAAATAATGTAAAGGGTAAAAAACATTTTATATGTTAGTTACACATTTTCAAGTTTTTGTTCCGCCAGTTAGTTTTTACAAGGTGCACCTGAATGCAGCGTAAGAATATTAACATTCGGAATCGAAATAAACGTTCCTTTGGAGCGGATGGTGAAACCTCTATCAAACACATTTTAGGATTCACGTGTGTTATATTCAGCAACTTTTTTAGTCTGATTACCAGATCTGGCCACCTCTACCTCCAATCTTTACACTGCTTAAAATAGATACTTGCTCAGACTGTTCAATATTTTTAGTTTTATTTTCCCTACTTTGAGAACTGGCTCAGAGACCTCATTTATGTCTTCAATATTACCAGCTTTACATGATAAGCCACCGGCTACAACCCCTGGCAAAAAGTATGGAATCACCAGTCTTTGATGAGCACTCAATCAGACTTTTCATTCAGTAAAACAAACTGATCAAAAACATGACAATAATGAGGTCATTCCAAAGTGCAACTTGTTGGCTTTCAGGAACACTCAAAGAAATGAAGAGAAAACATTGTGAAAGTCAATGAATGTTACTTTTATTGACCAAGCACAGGGAAAAAATATGGAATCACTCAAATTGGAGGTAGAAAATAAGGACACACCCAGTCAATTTCTTTTCCCTAAATGGACGCCTGCCTCAGATTAGATCTGCTCGTTAGTCTGCAGTTAAAAACACCTGCAGTCATGACACCTTGGAGGGCTGCTGGATGAAGTGGAGTGGCAAGAACCATGGCTCCACCAAGAGAAATGTCTCTTGAAACAAAAGAGAAGGTAACTCTTCACGCATGGTTACTAAAGATGTGGGCTGATCACAGTCAGCTGTATCCAAGATATGGACCAAATACAAACAGCATGGAATGGTTGTTAAAGCCAAGTGTACTGGTAGACCAAGAAAGACATCAAAGCATCAAGACAAACAACTTAAGGCCATTTGTCTTGAAAACTGAAAAAGTACAACTAAACAGATGAAGCATAAATGAGAGGAAGCTGGAGCCAATGTATGTGACTGAACCGTAAGAAATCACCTAAAGGAAATGGGATTTCAATACAGGAAAGCTAAAAGAAAACCATCATTGACACCTAAACAAAAAAGAACAAGACTGCAATGGGCTAAGGAGAGGCAATCARGGACTGTGGATGACTGGATGAAAGTTATCTTCAGTGATGAGTCAAGAATCTGCATTGGACAAGGTGATGATGCTGGAACTTTAGTTTGGTGCCGTTCCAGTGAGATTTATGAAGAGGACTGCCTGAAGAAAACAACCAAATTTCCACAGTCCTTGATGATGTGGGGCTGCATGTCAGGCAAAGGCACTGGGGAGATGACTGTGGTTCATTCTTCTATCAATGCACAAGTTTACATTGACATGTTGGACAGTTTTCTCATCCCTTCAGTTGAACAGATGTTTGGAGCTGATGAGATAGTTTTCCAAGATGACAGTGCATTGTGCCATAGGGCAAAAACAGTGAAGGCATTCCTTGGAGAAAGACACATTCAGTCGATGTCACGGCCTGCAAATAGTCCAGATCTCAACCCAACTGAAAACCTGTGGTGGAAATHGGGAAGGAAAAAAAAAWAAAATAAAAAAAAGGCTTCGACCTGCAAAGCTGATCAGGCAACTGCTGTTTGTCACTCATCAAGGCCATGCCTCAGAGACTGCAAGCCGTTATAAAAGCCAAAGGTGGTTCAAATAAATACTAGTGATGTATTTTGAAAGGCCTTTTATCTGTTTTTCATGATTCCATACTTTTTCCCTCAGAATTGAGTGATTCCATATTGTTTTCTCTGTGCTTGGTCAATAAAAGTAACATTCACTGACTTCCACAATATTTTCTCTTCATTTCTTTGAGTGTTKCTGAAAGCCAACAAGTTGTACTTTGGAATGACCTTATTATTGCATCATGTTTTTGATCCGAGTTTGTTTTACAGAATGAAATGTCTGAATGAGGGATCATCCAAGACTGGTGATTCCATACTTTTTGCCAGGGTTTGTACATATTTCAGACAGCCTCTGCGCTGGTCACTTCAGCTGAGGAAACATCAGGAACAGAAGCCCTTGAGCTCCCGTCTCCCTGAGCACAAGGAAGATCATAGAAGGCAAAAAGTCTTGGAGTTACCACTCAGGTGACTGACCGCTAACCAAGGAGATGAGGCTGAGAACTGCAGGTGTGCAGCAGTTCCCGCTGGCTCCCTCTGGTGGACACCTGTGAGAAATACAAACAGTGCACACAAGCACAACTTTCCTAACTGCTCCCGTCCAAAGCGGACGTCAATCTTACAATATCAACAAAACACACAAAACACAAACCTGTAAAAAAAAAAAAAAAAAAAAAAAGTTAGAAAAACTCTCGGCCTCTGATTCATCATCACACACCTCCATCAACTCCCAGCATGTAGAGAGAGAGAGTAGGAAGGTTCACGGTTCACTCACAGGCTGCTCGTGCATCCTTTTGCCCCGATTTGAGAGACGGGTCCGATGGATTCTTCTCGGCCCAKTATGTCCCATAATGCATTGCGGGCAGGCCGGAGATTTTTCTTTTTTTCCTGCTCGTAATGGTGGACGAAGCGAGAGAATAGTAGCTTTGAATAAAAACATGGCGGTATTAAAATTAAGTTTCGTTTTGTTAATGCTTTTGTCATTTGAATAGTCGTGTTTTTAAATATTGTTCTAGTCAGAAATGAAACGAGCTGGTGCAGTGAAATAATGGTGCGTTTGCGTTCTACTCGGAATTTCCCTGTTCGCGGTGTTATTACTAACACGAAAAATTACTGTTCTACAGTGTATGACTGCAGAAGTATTAATGCTTTTTGAGTTTTCTGTTAGTGGTAACGAGATACCGATTACAGAAACGATAAAAACATCGTTTTGTTTTTTAAGCTCGAACACTTGTTGGATCTGACGATCAAAGCTACGATTTCCGAGGTAAATGGAACGCAGCATACACATACAAATACGACAGGTCTCGTAGTTCTTCAAATAATGCCTTTAAACTAATTTAGTTGTTTGGTAATAATAATAATATATTGATTTTCTAGTTTCGATCTATTTTGGCTWCTGTTTAYCGTCGTCACGGTTGCTAGACGACAGGATATACGCCGAAATAAGGACGGGGATTTCAGCCACTTTTGGGCGGCCAAACACTTTTGCACTTTGACTTCAAGTGTTTGTTTTTTTTTTTCGCATGTGCCCTCCTCTAACACCTAGTTAAAATAAGTATTAATCATGTTGTTATTTTGTAAAAAGAAAGAAAACACGTCATCACCTGAATCATTTATATTGTGATAAATCAATATTTTCCTGGCATTGAGGCCATCTGACCAAACATGTTCACACAGAATAACTGAATTGTTAAGCACTTTAATCAACTTTGTCGTCAAATCTGAAAATTTAAAAGGCATAAAATAAATTACCTTTTTATTGCTCCTTAGATTTTTTCCCTCAGTGTATCGATGTAATTTCAGATTTTCAATAGAAAACAGCTTTTATTTTTAAGGCAAGATTTAATAGTTCAGATTATAAAAATAGCAGCACGTTGTTGACAGAACAATGACATATTTACAATGTGTGATTTAACAACAGCAGAGGTCAGGTCTACACAGACATGGCCAGGTTTTCTTTGAAGCCGATGGTCTTGGGGTTGATCCCGACACTCTTTGTCGTGTTGTGAGTTTTGTAGATGCCGATGAGGCGATCTGCGATCTCAAACATGTTGTTCCTCAAAGAGATGATGATGAACTGAGCATTCTTAGTTTGTTCCTGCACACAGAAAAAAAAAAAAGTTCAGTTGAGGATTATTATGCTGCTGCTTCATACGTGAAAGTTTTATCACAAGAATAAAATGACATTTTAATTTAAAAGCTTTAAAAAAAAACAGGCAGCCAAGTCTAACAGTTTGAGCCTAAGATCTTTCTGATTCAACTCCAAAAGCTGAGTTTAAATTTAATAAAAAGTCTTTATATTCTTGGATGCGACTTCATTTCTGGAAAGTCTCGGTTTAACGGCACGAGATTCTACAGAATGTTTAGTTTTTTTGTTCTGGTGACATGTTTCTACAGTCAGAGGCTGCCACGTTCACAAAAGAATAAGCTCTTAAACAATGTTTTTCAGAATAAAAGCCTTGTGGAAGTGGCGTTAAAAGGATTCATCCTCACATATATGTAACAGGCCACGATGGAGACGTTTTTGAAGTCCAGAGCGGCGTCGATCTCATCCATGAAGTAGAGCGGTGTGGGTTTATAGTGGTGCAGAGCGAACACCAGAGCCAGGGAGCTGAGGGTCTTCTCTCCTCCTGACAAGTTGAAGATCTTTTTCCAGCTTTTCTTCGGAGGACGAACACTGAAGATTTAAAGCAGAACGCTCAGATCCAACTTGTGTTTTGATAAATGTTCCTCTGTGGCCCCACAGCTGGTTCCTCTCACCTGAACATGATGCCCTCAGAGAAGGGGTCCAGACTGTCCACCAGCTCCAGCTCTGCGTCTCCTCCCAGCGTCAGCATCTGGTAGTTCTCCTTCAGCTTGTTGGTGATGATGTTGAATCCCGTCATGAACTCGTTGAGCCGCTGTTTACGCAGATCCTCGAAGGCGCGTTTGACTCTGTCCCTCTCTGTGGTGATTTCATCCAGCTGAGCGACTCGCTGCAGGTACAGCTCCTCCTAAAAACACCAAAACACCTTTTAGTCTTAAAAACTAAAAATGAGAGGCTTAAAGCCACGGTGTTGATGCAAAAAATAAAAACAAAATAAAAGCTGCACCAACCAAGATTTTTAACATATTTCTTATTTTTTGATCTGACATTTAACTTTCTCCTCCACGGTGGAAAACTGAGAAATAAGAAACGAATGAACTCATTTCAGAAAAACTGAATCTAAGTTTTGATCCAAATGTACTCCTCGCACGCAGCGTACCTTCTTCTTGTACTCAGCGATGGCCCCCAGGTTGGGCTTTATCTGACCACACTGGACTTCTAAGGTGCTCATCTTGTCGACGATGACGTTTGGATCAGAGACGGCGTCGAGCTCAGCGGGAGGAAACACACGGAGCTCCTCTGCTGGCTGCCCATCGATGGTGTGAAGGGAAAGCTTAGCAGCCTGTTGAACAGAAACCTCACATCAGTCTGTGCTCTTTAGAAACATTTGACACGAAACTGAAATCTAATAAAACACAAGGAGCCTGTCGCTTYCACCACTAGACTGCATTTAGACTCCAAAATACATTTTCTGATTTCAAACAGGAAGTAAAAATCAAAAGAAAATACCTCATCCTGCCAGTACTTGATCTTGCCGTTGTGTTTAGTGATGAGGGCGTCGATGTGCTCGATGGACAGGCGGACGTTCAGGGACTCTTCCTGTAGAGCGTGCTCCTGCTGCTGCAGGGTCTTTATCTCTTTGGTCACATTTTGATACTGTTCCTGAACCTCAGGCAGAGCCGCCTAAAGAACCAGAAACCAAACAAACACTCAACGTTATTTCATCTGAAATTGGCCAAAAAATGATACAGGACATCCAAAGTTTTGATAAAATCACATTTGACCTCACCATGACCTTTACTGGACCATTTAATGTGTAGTTTTATGAACGATCTATGGTTCTGTAAGTGAATTAAATCTTAAACAAGAAGCACTAACCTCTGCTTCYTGACAGGCTTTCATGATCTCTCCGGCCTCGTCTTCCAGTTTTTTCAGCTGTTCTGTGAGCTCGGCCTTCAGCTTCTCATTCTCCTCCAGCTCAGCTTGAACACGAGCGATACTCTCCTCACACTTCTTTAAGTTTCTACAGAAAAAAAAAAAAAAAAAAACAACCCTCATGTTTTTTAAAGAGATATTTTGGGTGGCAGAACGTAACTGTGACGTCTGAGAGGTGAATCTCAGCTCTGAGCCCGGCTGTAACGTGAGCTGCAGCTTTAATCTGTCCGTCAGAAGATCCTACGACGAATCAATAGAAGACGTGACTTCTGCAGCTTCATCAAAGTTCCACCTGACATATTTTCCACCTTCACTCTGAGGGTAGGTAATGATTTGACACAGCTCATAAATAATCCTTTTTAAACAAGACTAAAGGAAACACTTTGCTGCACTGAGATCATTAATCATATTAATATGGCGTGTCTGTAAAGCTGTTCAACACAACCAGAAACACAGATTAGTGAAAACAATTACTATGATGTTGCACATATCTTTGGATTAGGAAATATATAAGTAGATTTTTGGAGTTATTTCCTTTTAGAGTTTCTGAAACGGCAGCCACAGTAGAGCCAACATTAAAAAAAGGATTCTGTGAGTAAATCATGGCTCARGGTTTATGAGCTCCTCTGCTGGTGATTAGCTGGATGGCTGGTCATGGCAAACACACCACATCACACACGGCCACCACTATTGTTTGAACAGCAGACTGCCAGGCTGTCCGGCCAGCAGGATCATTACCAGCCACACAAAACAAAGACTATTTTAAATCACAACTGTGAAAATTTCCTTTAAAAGAAAACAAAGAGGCTGGGTTTTTACTTCACGCAGGACCCGTAACCGTTTCAAACATGCATATATCCCTCTTCAACACACTGTATTTTAATCAAACAATAATTAGACATGGAAGGGCGAATTGTTGCTTTTATCGTGGAAACTTATTGGTGCCAAATTCATGATGCCGTCACTAAATTTAGAGGCTTTTTGAGGCCCCTTTCTGAATTTTTCCCCCCACAAAGTTGTGGTAGCAGAGTTGGATGAGGATGAAGAGCAGCTCGTCTGTGACAAACCACTGCGTGTCATGTTTTACTTTTTCTAAAAAAAATTTTTTTAAATCTTGTTAAAAAAATTAATAAAAGTTATATAAAAGTTGTATTTCAATTAGTGCTGTACCAAACGATTATTTTCTAATCGATTAATTTAACGATTATTTCTTCGATTAATCTATTATTCTAACAACAAATCTATAAGTTATTCTGATGTGAGTGCACTGGATATTTAAAATGTTTTCATCAAATTAACAAGAACAGTTCTTTAATATTGTAATATTTTCTGTAATAGTTTTTTCATGGACACAAAATATGCACTCTAGAGCAGGGGTGTCAAACTCCTGTCCTCGAGGGCCGCTATCCTGCATGTTTTAGAGGTTTTCTTGCTCCAACACACCTGATTTTGATCGCTGGGTGATTAACAGGCTTCTGCCCAATTTGAAGAGTTAATTCAATCACTGAATCAGGTATGTTGGAGCTGGAAAACCTCTAAAACATGCAGGATAGCGGCCCTCGAGGACTGGAGTTTGACACCCCTGCTCTAGAGTAAATTCTTTAACAAAAAAAAGTTTAAAAGATTTAACATCAACATAAAATCTCAACTAAAGCATATAAAATTCAACTAAAAGAAATATAGTACAAGATGTTAACAATCTAACAAATGAACTAAATCATGCAAAATTCAAGTCACTCTCTGGAAAACCTATAATAAACACTTATTTATTGTTTTTTATTTAACATATTTCTCAATATATAAAATTTAACAAATATCAAGACAACATCCAACTCTTTGTATTGTAACATCAGTTGTGTAACTTATTTCTTTAAGGTGAAAACTGTTGAAAACAACAAGACTGTTTTGTCTTATTGTACAAATTAACATCCAGCTCCACATATTTCTATTGATGTCATTTCCCCACTAAAAAAATGTGTGATGGAGGTCCAAGGAAGGCAAATAAGTTGAAATCAAATAAACAAAAGAGGATGCAGTTAAAATAAATAAAAGGTATTTAAGCTACGTTTTGAACATCCAAAACACGTCCAACACTTGTTGGCTGCTTGTGCTCTTTAGGTCAGACATGTGTCGGGAAGCGCCTCTGTTGTTTGAGACGCTGGGAGAACCGTCTGATGGGGGAACGTGGCTCGACCTAACACCGGTCTCTGTTTAATGGTGGATGAAATAAAGAAAGTGTCTGTACTTTATTTACTTTGAGCAAGCGAACATCGTGTTCACAAGATAATTAATCCACCAGATAATTCAGAGGCGTCTGTTCGGTAAATTTTACTCCAGGAGCTGCGAGGCTTGTTTTCAAGCTTCAGACTGAACTGAAGCAGCAGCTGCTGACATCATTACACTCTTGCACGATGCTGCGTTCAGGACAAGCATGGAAAACTCACCACTCTTATGCCAATACGGTCGCAAAGATGCTTTTAGGTACCGAAATGGAATAGCATGAACATTCACGTGGTGGTTATGTAATACAGCGAATCGATAATAAAAAAATCTGCGTCGACAAATTTACATAATCGACGTCATCGATTATTTCAACTAATCGGTGCAGCCCTAATTTCAATGTTTCCAATAAGATGGTGGCCTTGAGGTGGACAAGATAAATARTTAGTTATTAATGAGTTTCAATGATCTTCATAGGAGGCTCTGTTGGGATAATAGCAGGAGAATCACTGAGACGCAGAGCAGATCATGTTTAAGACATTAAAAGTTTGTTTTGTTTCTTACCGATCAGCTGTCTTTATGGCTACTTTGGCCTTGGTTATGGTGGAGGAGCAGTCATCCAGCTCCTTGTTAATCTTGTCAAGTTTGTCCTGCTGAGCCTTCAGTTTGTGGCTGTTGATGTCCACGATCAAGTTGTGGAGTCTTTTCACCTCATTTTCCACCTTCCCAGCCTTACTGGACGCTGACTCATAGTCTGACAGAACAAGTGTTTGGAGAGACAAACAGTAGGAAGGAATAAGGGATTATTCTTTAAACCACTAAAACATTTGCCTTCAAACCTTTCACACATTACAGAACAGTGTATTTTATTTTTATATAAAATCTTAATGAAAAAACCTTCAATAATCACCATTTCTCCTTACAGTTTACAGGAGCTTCTACCTTTTTTGAATGCCTCCAGGCTCTTCTCCATCTGTTTCTGTTTGGTCTTGTCTGGGGCTGCTGCCAGCACGTTGGCTTCAAGCTCCTTAATCTGAAGTTTCAAGTGAGTCTCCTGGTCAGCTAAACTCTGAGGAAAAAAAAGAACAACACCCCGCCACGTTGATTTACAAGGAGCTGGAGACATTCAGCCAGTCAGACGGTGACATTTTATGCATGGATGTGAACAGAAGATGACATTTGAACGATAAATAAAAGATAAATAAGAAAGAGTGGATGAAATGATTACACTCATGCTGTTGGAGTATTTTTCCAGAGTGTTCTTCATCTCTCTGAGCTGCGGCTGCAGGCGCTGGATGTTCTCCTCCAGCTGCAGCTTTCTCTCTTGGCAGCTCTGTAGCCGTGACACTTTCTCGTTCAATTTGCTCTCCATACGATCAAGCTGGGAGAAAAAAAAAAAAAAGAAACAAAATAATCATGTTTTGTATACTGACAGGTTGTCGACATTGAGGGTAAAATTTGATTCAGCTTTCTTAACCACTCTTTCAAACTGTTCACAATAAAAACAGACCATTTTAGTTATTTATGAAGCTCATGACACTCAGCTGCAGTAAGGAGTTCATCACTGCGACTGTGATATTTAATCAACACATAAAGCAGTGAGACACAGTAACATGATGGCAAAATCTAAAATAATAAAAATCTTTAAAGTTGATCAAGTTTCACACAAACAAAATAACTTGAACTGATCATGACACATTTAATCTTTCTCTTTTGGTCCATTTATATCCATTTGTTTGTTTATTGCTTATCTCAATTTTCTTGAAATGTAATGAAATAGTTTAACGCCACTGAGATTCAATTTAATGCTTTTATTGCTTAATAATGCCTCACAGAAACCCAGTTTTAAGAAATGCAATTCATATGAATAATAAATGATGGAAAATTGTCTGAATGTTTATTATGTAGCAATACGAAAGCTTTTGGGAGACAAAGACAGTAACAGTTCTGTTGTTATGATTATTATTGCTTAGAGTACCAACCATTAAAATGTACAAAACAAAATGTGAGAAAATGTTAAAAGGGTGTCCATTCTCATAACTTTTTTTTTTTATTAAACCCTTTATCTTTGTTAAAAACACCACATTGAACTTTGACCTCACCTCCACCTGGGAGAACTCAGCACTAATAGAAGAACCCATCCTGCCCTTCATCACTCTTCCTCCTCCAGTCATGGTTCCTGTCAAACACGTCACAGGTGAATAACAAACATTAGAATAAGAAAAGTAAACTAAAAACAAGAGTTAAGAAGAGTTGCCCACCAGCTATCTCGATGATCTGTCCCTTCAGGGTGACCACCCTCCAGCGTTTGTCCTTCTGGAAGGCCAGCCTCGTGGCCTGCTCCATGTCTTTGGCCACGAGTGTGTCCCTCAGGGCGAAGTAGAAGGCTGGCCGCACGCTGTCGTCGTTCAGTCGCACCATGTCAAACAGACGAGGGCAGTCGTCTGGAGTGCGAACAGGGGCCATGTTCTTCTCCCACACCTTCATCTGTTGAAAGAAGCAGCGAGGCAGAAATTACAAAAACAAATCGTTTCTGACTGAGGTTGTGAAGTTAGTTTTTACCTTGTCAAGGCCAATGAAAGTGGCAACTCCGATATTCTGCTCTTTAAGGAAAGTGACACATTTCTGAGCTGTGTCGATGGTGTCTACGACGATGTTGTCCAGAGCACCACAACATGAAGAAATGGCCACATCGTACTTCTCATCTATGGCTCCAAGATCTCCCTGCGATCACAGAAATCAATTCAAAATACAAATTTTATACCTTTTCATTTCTACTAGGAAAAAATAAGGCCAAAAGTAAATTTTTGTCTAATTTAAAAAAAAAAAAGTTCAGTGCTTTTTTTAAATGTTAGAACTGATTTCGTTAATTTACCAGTCTTCCATAGATGCCAGGAATTCTGCCACTCTTCTTCAGCTGCATTAGAGCATCCAGGACTTTTCCTCGACTGCGATTGGAGGACAGGGAGCTCTTGGCTTCATCCACCTTCTGCCTCAGATCTCTCACCACTTCTCTGGTCTCAGTATCCACCTTCAGAAGCTGCTGCAGCTCCTCCTGGTCCTGCAGAGAGAAAGGGAAGAAATTACAAATGAAGCAAAAAAATTTATAAAAAAATGGTTGGACTGCTTCATCACTTGTTGATGTGAATGCTACTTTAACAAAATAGCATTTTATCAAATGAACATCAGTTTTACCTTCTTGAGTTCCTGCTCCTTCTCAGGAACTGTGACTTGTAGGTCTTTAATGGCGGCACGGCGCTCCTGCAGCGTCTCTGAAGTCGTCTGAAGCGTCTGTTTGGCTGTGTTGAGCTGGGTTACAGCTGTTTTGTGGCGGCTAAGATAGATGTCGAGCTCAGACTGGGCAAGATCCATACGGGAGCGGGTCTCATTTACAGCTTTGCTCAGTTCCATGAGTTCCTGCTCCTTTTTCTGAGAAGAGCAAGTAAAGAGAAAAGGTTGGAAAACTGAAGACTTTAACTTTCTGAAATCAAGTAAAACACGTTTGTTTCATGGTTAAATCAACCATTAAACAAACATGAACACATGTTTATAAACCTCTTTGTCCTGCTGCAAGCCACTGGTTTCTTCTTTCAGACTTTCCATCACTTCCTTCAGTTTTTCTTCTTCTTTTGCTTTCTGTTTCTCCAGGTCTTCCTTGCGGGCCGTTGCCTCAGAGATGGCTTCTTCGCTGCTGGCTGGTACGCTGCGCACTTCCTCCAGCTGAAAAACAAACCAGACAAAAGAACAAGTCAAAGTTAGAGGGTATTCATGATGCTGAATGTCTCTTTTCAGGGATCGCCACAGAGCAAGTCATCTTCCTCCATCTCACCGMCCTCACTGCAACCACATCATGTCCTCTCCAACTGCTTCAAATTATCTCCATCTTTTTCCTGGTAGCTGCATCTCTAACGTCCTTCTACCAAAACACCCACTGTCCCTCTTCTGGACATGTCCAAACCATCTCAGTCTGGACACTCTAACATGATCTCCCACACGTTTATTTTGTGCGATGTCTGATCTCATCCTCATGTTATCCACTCACACTTCTGTCACACTTCTACTAACACAACACATGAAAGCTGTAGTGAAAGGTGAGTTATTGCTGACGTTATGTTAAAAGTGGTGATCAACAAATATTTCTGATCTGCTTTTATGTAGAGAATATAAATTGGTGCTGATGTTTGAGAGACAACAGGTATATATGCATTTTCATCTAAACTGGGGGCCTTAAGACTTTAAATTAAATTATACAAATCTGGGGGGCAACAAAAGTGTAAACGTCTAGCGAACGTTTTCCAGAGTTAGCCAAAACACTTGTGCAATAAACTAAAAAAATAAAAACAAAACAAAAAGACAATGCAAAAACATAAAACCAGGACTGAAACAGCTCTGATTAGGACTGGCACAGCAGTCTGTCTGCATCTTGGCAGAGCTAAAACAAGAGGATTGGCATCTACATATAGTTTATGTTTTGTCGGGTTTAACTGCGGGTGAAATGTGAATATGGTTGCTGGGAGTGTTACACAAGCCAGGCCATAGTTGACTACCACACAGCAGAACACTGCTCCCCAGAGGTCAGCCTGCCTTTGCCTTGCTCCCCCTCTGACCAAGATGTTTCTACAGCATCGACTTTTAGAGTGTGAGGAAAAAGAAAAGACATCCCACATCCCTGCAGTTTATGAGAGGAGCCTCGGTTTGACTGATACAGTTGATCAGTAAGTGTACAAAAAGAATAATAAAAACAACTTTAACTGTAACACACATCAACAATCGATCTGTGCAATTTTTCACAGCCCCCTAGTGGCTGATTCCTGTCTGATGGCTCTTCCTGTTATGAAAGCTGAGCTGCAGTATTACACTTTTTTTAATGTGACTAACGTTTATTTCAAAGGATAAAATAACAACTCATCTTCTACCATAGAAGGAAAATATAATTAACATTGTATATAATCTGGTGGACTATTTAAGTCAGAAAAAATTCCTAAGAGCATTATGAGTCACTATAAGTAAGTAAATAAATAAATAAAAATATTTCACTATATAATGATTTTTTTGTACAGCAATAACAGTGATTTTGATATAGAAATAAACTATTTTTGGAAACATTCATCAGATTTTTAGATGTAAATATTTGGACTCTTTTATTTATAGACAATTTCTATTTTCTAAAATGTTTTTTTAATCACTTTAGAACAAATTCTAATAAAAACTAGAACAGGAGGGAAAGAATCCAACCACTTTTCTTTTTGCAATGCTTTTTTTTAAGTGTTCACATCAAAAAACACACGTAAGATACATTCAGAACTTAAACGACTGCATAAAAAAGACTTTTAATAATGGCAAATAACTTTTTGGAACAAATAAAAGTATCTGTTGAATTTTTTTTGTCCTTTTTTTTATATATCTAGTATTTGTGTGAGATTATGTTATGGGTAAACTGTTCACCTTAGCCTAAAGACAAAATTTAATATGAAACAAAAAATATTATTATGACTTTTTTTTTTTACTTTTACAGCCACCGTTTTAAAGCATGAAATGTTTAAATATATACTTTAAGGGAAAAAAAACTTGAATACCGGCAAACAAGCTTTACTAATTAAAACTGCAAAATTATCATTAAAAGAATTTAATTGTTGGCATTTTATAAAACTATAAAATATTTTTATTTTCTTTATGTGTTTCTTCCTGGGTTAAGACCAAAATGAACAAAGCATATTTGATAATGCCACTGGCATTTTTGTAAACAGATGTGTACTTTCGTTGAAGAGAAAGAAAAAAAAAAGGGGGGGGGGGGGGGGGTTGTAAGGCAGATTATTTAAAAAGTATTTCTCTGAACAAAGAGTGACAGGATTRATGTCCTARAGAGGTGCTAATAGRAGCAGTTAAATAAAGTTAATAAACWGTGTAATAATGAGCAACTTAAAAGGTAAATGCACCTTTTTCTGGTCTTTTTCCAGCTGCTTCTGCAATGTCTTGTTCTTGCTCTTGGAGTGTTTAATCTTCTCACGCACTTCAACATCCTGCAGGTCCAGCTGGGTGAACTTTTCCTTCTGGGTTTCAATGTACTTGTTGAGCTTATTTTGTTTTCTAGGGGAGGAAATGCACCACATTTATCAAGCAAATTCCAGTCAGTCTAAAAACATAACTCTTAAATGTTACAGAAATTATGACAAAATATATATTTTCCCAGAAAACAAAATATTTCTATAGCTATTTACTGTAAAAACCTCCATTTTCTTTAAAAAAATGTTTTAATCAAATTTAACATTTGTAAATGGCTAAATATCTAAAATGAGAAATGACTATARGTTCACAAACCTTTGTTAAATCTACGTGGATTTAAACATTCACATACTAACATTTTCTCTAAATGTATAAAGTAAATAGTGTAAAATGATTTATTTAGTAAAATAGCTGGTATCCAACAACGTGTGTTAGTGCAAAGTAAACAAGGCTGAATATTTCTTACTTTTCTACGTTTTTGAGCTCTTGGTTCATTTTTTCCATTTCTTGTGAGATCTTTGCATTTTTTTCTGCGAGTTCCTTGGTGTCSTCCAAGATCTTCTGCTTCTCCTGCTCTTTCTCCATCACACGTTTCTGCAGATCATGACTAATGACAAAGAGAAATATTTAATAAAAGATAAACAATTCAAAAWGAGCATAAAAGACATTAAAGCAGAGTGAAGTGTGACATGCTGCTTCTACATTTTTATTTGGAATCTGTAATAATGGTGTACTCACACATAATATTGGTAAAGGTGACTCTTGTGTTTAAAGATATCATTCTCCAGGGTCAGGAACTCCACAGCTTTGTTCTTTTCTCCTTCCAAAGCATTTTTTTCCTTTTCCACAAGCTTCACTCGGTTTAGCTAGGACAATAAAAAAAATAACAGTATTTAAAATCTGATCGTAAATCCCCTTTGTTGAGCAAAAAAACCCCACAATAGACAGTTGAAATCAACCAGCAATCCTTAAATAGAAAAGTTTACATAAATTAAGCCTCAATCACAACAACCACACAGGCATGTTCAAATGTAGAGTGGCAAAAAATATGACAGAAAGCCAAGTCAGCCTTATCTTACAAAGTTTATTTATTACACACTGTAAAAATCTACATCTTCTATCTCAACACACTCTTCAAAACATAAACCAAACATGCATTTTCAAACTTCTCTATATGTAAATAAAAATTAACTGAATGAAAGAAAGTCGGTGAGTTGTGCTGTGAACAGATGGAGTGTCATCACCTTCTCTCCTCTCTGCTCATTGAGAAGCTCGACACGACGAGCCAGAGTTTGAATCGGCTCCTTGAGTCGACACGAACCAATGATGTCCTCCATGTACTCCAGCATCCCTTCATCGTGCACCGTTTGACCTTTAGGTTTCATCATGGCGATCTGCTCGACCTCACCCTAAGTAAAGTTCAYAAGAGTGTTTCACTGAAGGWATACATAAATGCATTAGTAACACAWAACATAATAATAGTAAAACTGAACTGTGTGTAAATTATGAGGCACACTATAATAATTGTCTGCAAAAAGAATTTTAAAATAAATTATAAAAAATAAATCACTMAAGGATGWCACACYTTATGATTAAAATGATTAGGGTGAACACAGTTCATTAAAAAAATTTAATCTAAATAAATAAATAAAACTAATATTTTTAAAACATGTTTGTATTATAAACTCTAAAATCCTTTAACTAAACTGGGACTGAAACTCCTAATACTGGATATTACATATTACACCTCAACTCTAAAAATGTTTGGTATAACTACACTGGTGTGAACATGTTATTTTTTTTATTTACATAATTTGGCAAAACAAATAACTAGATAAAACAATTAAAGTTAAGTACAAACGTAAAAATTTAAAGCAATAAATTTCTATTAGGTGTAGTTTATACTTATAGAAAACAGGGAAAAAAAGCCTTAAGAAATAAGTAGGGATGAATCCTACATCCTCCCTCGATCTCACTGGGGCACAAATTAAACATCCTCCTCTTTCCAACAGGCCCGAAACAGCGACATGATTTTGAAGAACAAACTAAAGTCCTTTCCCTGAATGACAAAGGAAAGTAATACTGAAAAAGAATGGAAATTTTTATACCTACAAATAGATGGAAAAAAGAAAAGAGAAAAAAAAGAAAGGCAGGGGAGCTAAAAATGCATTTAGAGCTAATTATTCAACTGAAACCAACCCTAAATAAACAAATAAATAAACATCCTCTCAGAACTGGAACTAAATTTAAACCATCCGTTTAGCTCGGCTCTGACACAAGTCATCACCCCATATGTCTTGAGTTAATCAGTAATAATGGGCATGCCAGATGTAATACACTCAGCTGGGGCAGGAATGGAACAAGTGAACTGGTTCAAACTCAGTGCAGAACAATACTACACGATAGAGAAAAAAAAAAAATTAAACAAGCAGAAATTAAATAAAAAGCGGAGTGTTCTGAATGTATTTTTTTCTTTCTGAGTGGGAGGAAAAAAAAAGTTGAACCAATATTAAAGCCATGGTAATGGAGGGTGTTTGATCCAGCCACACTGAAGCAGCACTGCCAATATTGGGGTTGGGGTCTATTGTCACACGCCAATATTTACGTGCTGCTAAAGCGTGGCGGGTACATGGAAAAGGGAAAGGGGGGGATCCAACCAGTCCTCACTGGTGGATCGCCCTCAGAATTCTCCCCGCAACAAAAATCTAGGCGAGTCGCTRAATCTCTCCCATGAACCGCAGCTTTTCCTTAAAAATCCTAAAGCAGCAAATAATGGTTCGCACCATTTCCACATTGTTTCAAACCATGATGCGCTGCTATAGAAGTCTAAGGGCTGACAGAGAACACATACTCTTCTTTCCAATTCCAGTGCAACAGGTTTATTTCCCTCAGCCAGGCATGGCTTAAAGGTATATTTGAAAGATCTGGCTCAGAGGAGTGYGAAATGGGAAGACAATGAAGAGCAGGAAATCTTTGACAGAATGGGATGGTCAAAGGAGGAAAAAATAATAATAAAAATAAGAATAAAACATGTTAAAAGTGGAAGAGGAAATTGCATTAAAAAATATCCACCATTACCTGTAAGATCAGAAATCTGTTGTGGTCAAGGTCAATACCATGGCTTCGGAGTAAAGCCCCCACTTCTTTGAATGTGGCTTTCTTGCTATTGATGTAGTAGGCTGAGGAATTGTCTTTGTTGGCAGTCCTGGAAACGTAGAACTTGCTGTTGGGGATGACTTCGTAGTCATCTCCTTCCTGGCTCAGAGGGGGGGAGGGGCAGAAGTCACAGAGGAGCAGGACACAGCAGTTTAGCAGAGGTGCAAACAGTCTTCACATCAAACAGGAAAAATCTGAACTGTGACTTAAACAAGTGATCAGAATTTGTTTTAAATTAAATTTAAAAGAATATTTGTTTTCTTGAACATGTTGAGGCCAAAAGCAGTAAAAAAAAAAAATTAAATAAATAGTTAAGTGTGCTCTAAAACAGTGAACTGATTTTTTTAAAAAACATAAAAAATATGGTAAATAATATTAGATCATATTTTTGTAACATGTCTAAATAAATATTTTACACAGTWAAAAGTTGTGTACACCACCTCTGGTGAGAAAAAATAATAATTCAAGTTACACCCTGTGTAGATGACACACTACAACTAATTGTGCAATTATTTTAACAACTTCAGTTAAATTAAACTTGATGAAAAATTAATCGGAAAAACTTTAATACCTTTAGAAGCAATTGAGCTAAAAGTTACACTCCTCGGGGCAGGTTAAATATATAAWTAAATTTAACTGCATAAAAAATAAATCTGTTCTATTGATAAATAGCAATGCTGAGCACATACATTAAATATTTTACTTAAAACAGGAACATGCCGTGTTGATTTTGCTAAGTGCTGTCAAACAGAGCCTTACTGGACAATTATTATTTTTTAAAAATATATATTAAAATACTGGGACCTATTCTAGCTCAAGGTCAATTGAATTTTGCATGTGTGGGTGTAAGCTGCAACTTTCAAGACTGATTTGAGTTTGTATTTAGTCATTGATGCTAGAAATGAGTAGCAATATCATCGAATGAGAGCTGAGGAAATAATATATTTATTATCTGACAACCATCTTGTCTAAAAGAAAATGTCTGACAGTGGTTTTAGATTTGAACTGAATATTGAGAAATATAAAACGAGTGCATCTTGTTTTTGAGTGACAGAGATATAAATATAAGTACCTTATCAATAATCTTTTGAAAATGCACCTCCACGCAGCAGCTCTGCACATCTTTGTGTTGATCAGAGCTGTGAATCAGCACTGAGAGCTTTTTTGATCTGATCTTTTGAGCTCTGTATCCAAACACAAAGAGCATTGAATCTATCACATTGGACTTTCCACTTCCATTGGGACCAATGATACAGGAAAATCGCTGCGAGACAGACATGAAAGAAAACAAAAATATAGGAGTCATTTGTGAGAGAAAAACACATCATCACGTTCAAATATAGTAGCTTTTCAAGTCACGAGGTATTAATCTAATAAAGCTGTGAGGAGAAATAAATTCCTCGAGTGTAGTTAAGATGAAATTATGTGTTTTTTTAGTGAGACCTTTAGCAATTAGGGTTGGGCAATATTGGCAAAAAAATAAATCACGATTAATTGTGGTATTTAGCCGATAACGATTAATTTGACGATTAATCCCCTGGAGTCCCTGGACACCKTRATMTKKWYGTCACATGACCAATTTAGTGGGAAAGATTTGCTCTTCATAAAAATCTGTTCCAAATTGTGTCAAAATTACAGACTTCAGGCTYTACATKAAACTTTAAATTGTGTTGATAAATAYGTTACAGAACTTTTTTTTAATGTTCGTCATATTTGAAGCTGAGAGGAGCACCAAGCGGATTCTAACTGTTGGCGTTAATCGTATTAATCGTCAAGCGCCAAAAATTAATCGATTAATGTTTTTCTGACGATTAATCACACACGATACGATTATGCCCYACRCTATTAGCAATAAGAGAAAATCATATAAAACGTCCATATTTTTTTTTAGTCAATGTATATTTTTTTTATTTAACAAAACAATAACTGCTTTACATAAATGAACATATATTTAACACTTGGAACATACATACTTAAAAACAACACACAAAACACTAATCTTGTTTAAAATAAAAAGTGGACAGTATTGTAAATAACATCATCCAGCTCAGTTTAAATAAATTTGTGCAGAGAGAAAATGGTTTGAATAAAGTCACAATAAAAAAGGAAATGTGGGTACATCAATAAAACACACCGGTTGAGAGTGAAAATCAAAACGGATGACTTTTAATTGATATTTAAAATAATCATTATAAACTAACTCCTTAGTTTTCTGCATTATAATACAGAAGTTAAGCCATASGAAGTAAGATTATTATAAGCTGAGGAAAAGGGAGGTTAATAACACACACACACAAGCAGTGGCTGTAAATCTAATTTCCTCACAACAGAAGAAGTCTCCAGGCAGAATTTGGTCGTACCTTGTGGAAAGGCCCAAGAATCTGRTCGCCTGCGTACGACTTGAAGTTGCGATTAACTAAATGCGTTATCATGAGGCGAGGAGCGCCCGGTTCGTTGGTCATTGCTGGGGGCGGGGGTGGAGGGATGCTGCCGAGAATTTCCTCCAGACTTCGGTTATCAACCGCCTCGGCAGCTTCCCCCTGAGACTGATCTGTACACACACACACACACACACACAAAGTTCAACTTTTATTCTGTTCGGGTGGTTTCAGGTGGAGGTGGGGGGGGAACAGTGATGCATGGGGGAGGGGTAGACGAACACACTTAAAAAAACAAAAACAAAAACAAAACAGTCAAACAACGACCCCCTCAGAAAGTTGTTATTTTTCCTTTGTTCTGACACGAGCCAACACAGTGTATATTAGATACACAAAAACCCATCAAATCACGCAACATACAGAATAGATGCGCCACCCTCACGTCGTCGATGAGAAATAACTAAAGTGCACGATTCGATCATGAACTTTTCACTCAGCAGCCACAGCTCTGCCCCTAAAATACTAAAAAATAAAAATAAACAAAAATAAAAACCCCGCTTAGAAGTAACAGCGCACAACAAGGCTGTGTTATCAAACTGCGAGGACCTGTTCAAAACCTATTGTGCTCACATGCAGTCATAAACAAGCAAACACACCGACATCCCTAATGAATAAAAAGCATCAGCTACAACCAGTAAAGAGTTGTCACAAATAATAAATATTCACATGGAGCCACTCGAGCCTTCGACACCGAATTACCTTATTTGCTGAGGACATATGGGGAAGGAGTGCAGRCGAAATCATCTTAAAATGATTTTCTTTTTCAATTTATGACTGTGGTGCTATAAGGGAAAAAAACAACTACGTGTTCGGATTTTAAAAAAATAAAAAAAAGGCGCTACAGCTGAGCCAAACGGCCTCTAAGTCCAACACACGTACAGCAAATGACTGAACTTATTTAGATTCAGACACCCAAAACAGGCTTTTGTTACTTGCCAGCAGTTGTCGGCGGTGCCTCCTCTTCTTTGCCATTGGACTTTGGTTCTGGAGGGGGTACACTCAGCTCGTCCTCGGAGTCATCCCGAGGCTGCAGCCCTCTGCCTCTTGTCTTGGCCGTGGAGCTTTTTGCAGTTTTAGATGGCATGGTTTAAAATCTGAAGTGGGTCAGTGGTGGAAAAAAAAAAAAAAAAAAAAAAAAAAACACTTTTCACATGTTATAAAAAAATACAGCACTGCTTAGGTTTAAATCAGTCTCTTATGAGCACTCCACCTGAAGGCAAGTATAATAATAAATTACTTAAGTGCCCGTTTAAAGCCATAGGGGAAAAAAAAAANAGAAAAAGGGGGGAGATATCCATGAGTGGTTTCTGTGCCTGTCAATCTCATAAAAAAGCTCCACTTATAGTCACAGCTTTACTCCTCTGTCAGGGTTTTTTTTTATCATTTACCACAAGAAGACTTCACTGCCACGACTCGGTATGATTTCCTACACTAACAAGTTAAAACAATAAAAAAAAGAAAGTGCTGCAATGCTGTTTTACGACCCGTGGTTCATTTGGACTAACCTAACTTGAACACGATAATCTGGTTATTTTGCCCAAAAAAATTAAAAAAATTAAACCAGAATAACAATCTTGTAATCTGGCATGTGTAGCAATCGCATTTGCAATCGAGAGAAAAAAAAAAGCTGAACACATTTAACTAGAAAACACAATAAAAGTTACTATGCAAATGAGTTGAACCCTTTCCAGCGATTAGTCTTAGCCATGTTGCATAGCCACGCAGCAAAAATTAAAAGAAAAAAAAAGGACGGGGTGCAGCTCGAACGGACTGTAATATTGACTTTCTTAAGATGGGAGTTCTTGTGTTGGGGACGGAGTTATAAACCGAGCAAACTCGCCGATTAAGTTCGTTTAAAGCAGTAAAACTTATAAATAACGAACTGCTGCAACGTAAAAACAACAGTGTTTATTTGTACTTGAAGCACAAGAATAGAAATCTGAAATTTTCCYCGTTGTACTAGTAGCTAATCCACGCATTTGGCATAAAATGTGATAACAAAGGGAAAAAAAACTAAACTAGTACTTGGCGGTACATATAACACAGGTTTATTAGTTTACTACGGATGCTACTGTTGAATTTTAGCTTTTCACAATAAATTGCATCTTTCGGCAGGGACTAATGCTGTGAATTTCAGTAATTAGACGGCGCCCCAGTGACTGCACTCCGGTAAAAATATCCTTTTATACCTTCTAACAAACGTCGACACGGTCCGTCAAAAGTCCCTCCTTTCTGTTCCAGGTCGTTGTGTCCGAAAAAGAGTGGAAAAAATCCTAAATTTGGCGAGTGTAATCCATAAAGTTCAACCCTGTATTGTTGCGAGTCGCTTCCCCGACTAGAAAACTCTATCTTGTAAATGGCGCCTAAACTGCGCCGTCAAACCGAATTCGTTAAAACTGACGCAAGGCACCATGGATCGTTCAAAGGGCAAGGCAAGAAAAAAAAATTCAAAAAAGGGGCCGAAGCCAACTCCGCCCTTTTCCACATCTACAGTACGGAAAAACAAAAACGAGGCAAAGAAATAAAAAGTCATTTTAAAAACTTTAAAAAATATGGCTAATGTAAGATTTAGAGCAAKAATTTATGTGGTTTACTGTGTTTGAACTGTTTCTTACTTACAATAGAACGCAGTCTCCGCCCCTCACGGAGACGCTTATAATATGAAATATGATCAATTTCGCTAAATCGGCAAATAATATAAGCGTCACTTCGCCTTTAATTAAAGTATTTGAGYGAGTTTTGCGCTATTTGCCTCAGTAAACATTTGAAACATTCTGTCCGGGAMTTTGCAAATCTCGCGATAACTCTAACATCTCACGCATACTTTTATCCTTGATGCTACTAAAAGTTAGCTTTGGTCAAAAACTAGTCATTGGTAGTAGGTAATGATGACTTGTGCTATACAGGCTATTCATATGGGGTAATTTGACACATATGAAGTTCAGGTTGTTCCGCATTAAACCCAGTAAATGGAAAAATGACGTGAGCTATCAAGTTATACAGCAGCCATGACGGGAGGATTCGTGTTAGCAACGGTGACAGATGCTTAGCAACTGTACAGCCCCAGACTAGTCACGTTTGAAGAGAAGAAACTGCTTCTTCACCGCGGTACGTCTATGTTTTAGTTTTTACGCTTATTCTTCTGTGCTCGTTGGTTCGACTTAATTGCTATATATGTGTGCTGTTTCTGGATTTGTTGTTTGTTTTAGGGCACAACAACAGGCAGCAAACATGAGACTGAAAACGTCGCTGCTAAAGGAACCCAAACATATCCTTTTAGTTTGTCAAGTGCTTCATCTGATCTGCGTTTATGTTCAATTTAATGACCACCAACTCAGTACCACTGAAAATACAAGTGGATTATAATGAATTGTTGCTTTCTGATGTTTGTTGATGCAACATGTGGTGTTTTAAGATGGTATGTTATTGTTAGCAGCTTATTCAAAACACTTTCTGTGCAGATCCTTTATCTGAGTTAAAGTACCAGCACCACTATGGAAGTATTGATTTTAATTATAGGTAATGTGGGGACATATGCTACAACAACAACCACAATAATAATAATAATAATAATAATAATAATAATAATAATGTAACTCCCTGTCTGGGAATGGAAATTCTGAATGGTGGGCAGAGTTATTTTCCACTATACTCAAAACTAAGTGTTTATTTGAAGTTATTTGTTAATGCTATCTCCACAGCTTCATCCACAGTCTGGGATTTCCTCCTGTTATAGATGTGCATCCAATGATTACTTTCTCAGAGTTTCACCAAAATCTGTCAGGTGGTTTGTGAGATATTTTCTTTACAAGACAGAAAGACAATTACACACACGGGCGATGACATAATTGCCCTTTTAGCTTAATTACAGTAGCCATTTTTTTTTTGCAGTTAGCTGAAATATTATGCATTCTTTTTCTTTAACAGCGTTTCACATAAAGAGCTTGTTAGTTGTGTAGGTTGGACCACAGCAGACGAGCTGTACTCGTGCAGTGAGGATCATCAGATCCTGAAGTGGAACCTTCTCACCAATGACACCAGCCTGGTGGTCAGGGTACCAGAGGACATTTACCCCATTGACCTGCACTGGTTCCCCAAAACAGTTGGTGGCAAGAAACAGACACAGGCTGAGATTTTTGTCCTCACCAGCACAGACGGTGAGTATTTTAGAATCTGACCTTTATTTATTAAAGTCAATGTAAACAGTTATATGTGCCTGTTTTTAAGTCATACCTACACACAGAAATTAAGATTGTGAAATAAATTATCCTACTTGATAAAAATAAATAAATAATTCTGCCATTTAGGAGTATTTTGATAATGTATGCTATTATTTTTAAAAGTTGTACTGRGTCGTATCGCCAAGGAATGATTTTTATTTGCATTTTTGTGTTACTAAACCAGCTGACTGTGTGACATGTATCTACACAAGCTTTCATGCCTCTTTTTCCTCGTCCCATATTAGAGATAAACAGTATGGATGCACTTTTGTGGCGGCCGATGCGTGGTCACAACTTTAATGGCAGTGTAGGCTTGCACAAACACTCCCGCAAACTGAAGCAGCAATTTTCTCTGACCGACCAGAGACCAGTAAAAACCATGACATGATTCACTTTTGCAACTTTTTTCTGCTTCTTGTCGTATTGCAGTTGCACAAATATCAGTTGSTCAAAAGAGAAGCGTGAATGTGGCAGTCACTGTTTTTTTCTTTCTTTGACCAATTGTGTGCAACAGTGTTACTACTACAGTAGTAAGTATTTGACATTTCTTAGAGATTAGTTTATCTTATTGCATGGTGTTTGTAAGGACTGTTGTAAATGCTGAATTTCATTTTGTGTATTATTTTAAAGTTATTTCCTGTTTAAAGAAATTTAAAGGCCTAAACATTCTTTGTAGGAATACATATTGCCCTCTGCCTTTTATGACATAAGATCATCTTATGTTGAGAAATGTCAGAGCTATTGCCATTTTGGCTAAATCTTGACTATATATATATA